AAATAAGCAACTTTTATTAAGCAACTGGTGGTCTAAAACTCTAAAACATTACATTTTAAATTGAAAAATAAATTTTCATGAAGGTATAAACTTTAAAGCTGATCCTGGTGTGCGAAAGCGTTTATGGCAGTTTGGATGGTTTAAATTTTCTGTTCGAAAATGCTGAAATTTATGTTTGTGTGAAGTTATCCACACATTTCCATCCACAAATTATGACGTGGGGTAAACTACTTTTGAGATAGAGTATCTGATATACTATTTCAGGTGTGCGGCAAATCGACATTCTGTGTAACAGAGTCATCCATATCTACACTTAAGACACTTGGCCGGCGATGCTACAAATATGTTTATAACAATTAAAAGTGATATAATTAAAGTGTATTTTCATGAGGGATAGAAGGGATGATGTTCGCCTGCCCGTTTGAGGGGGTGAAAAAAATTGAAATATGATTCCGTGGATGGAAATTTTCGAACTCGATAACTCGGTACAGAGGAGGTGTGCGTAAATGAAATTTTAAGGGATGACGTCTTTCTGGATGGGTAATAACCTAGTATAGGTGAAACAGTTCGCCTGCCCGTTTGAAGGGGTGAAAAAAAATAAAATATGATTCCATGGATGGAAATTTCCGAACTCGGTACAGGGGAGGTGTGTGTAAATTAAATTTTAGGGGATGACGTCTTTCTGGATGGGTAATAACCTAGTATAGGTGGAATAGTTCGCCGTTGGAAGGGGTGAAAAAAAAAATAAAATATGATTCCGTGGATGGAAATTTCCGAACTCGATAACTCGGTACAGGGGAGGTGTGCGTAAATGAAATTTTAAGGGATGACGTCTTTCTGGATGGGTAACAACCTAGTATAGGTGGAACAGTTCGCCTGCCCGTTTGAGGGGGTGAAAAAAATTAAAATATCATTCCGTGGATGGAAATTTTCGAAACCGATTCCGTGTAACTCGGTAGAGGGGAGGTGTGTGTAAATGAAATTTTAAGGGATGACGTCTTTGTGGATGGGTAACAATCTAGTATAGGTGGAATAGTTCGCCTGCCCGATTGAGGGGGTGAAAAAAATTAAAATAACATTCCGTGGATGGAAATTTCCGAACTCGATATCTCGGTACAGGGGAGGTGTATGTAAATGAAATTTTAAGGGATGACGTCTTCGTGGATAGGTAACAACCTAGTATAGGTGGAACAGTTCGCCTGCCCGTTTGAGGGGGTGAAAAAAATTAAAATGTCATTCTGTGGATGGAAATTTTCGAAACCGATTCCATGTAACTCGGTACAGAGGAGGTGTGTGTAAATGAAATTTTAAGGGATGACGTCTTTGTGGATGTGTAACAACAACCTAGTATAGGTGGAACAGTTCGCCTGCCCGTTTGAGGGAGTGAAAAAAATTAAAATATTATTCCGTGGCTGGAAATTTTCGAACTCAATAACTTGATACAGGGGAGGTGTGTGTAAATGAAATTTTAAGGGATGACTTCTTTCTGGATGGGTAATAACCTAGTATAGGTGAAACAGTTCGCCTGCCCGTTTGAAGGGGCATCATCCCTTCTATCCCTCATGAAAATACACTTTAATTATATCTCTTTTAATTGTTATAAACATATTTGTAGCATCGCCGGCCAAGTGTCTTAAGTGTAGATATGGATGACTCTGTTACACAGATTGTCGATTTGCCGCACACCTGAAATAGTATATCAGATACTCTATCTCAAAAGTAGTTTACCCCACGTCATAATTTGTGGATGGAAATGTGTGGATAACTTCACACAAAC